GCTTAGCATGGCCTCTGAGGAGCTGCAGAAAAGTTCACCGGAGGCACCAGCAGGAGAGGAGAGAGAAACCCTACAATTGGAGGCAGATAGAGCAAGACGGAACCTTGGAGAAGGGATGGGGACCGGCGGGGCCAGCTCCCAGCCAGCAGAAGTGGAGGAGCGGCAAGTCCGCCTCACGGAAGCGCTAGCGGGTGCCAGACCGAATGACCCAGCGAGGCGGCTGGCCCACCGCTGGGACCCACCGAGAGACCTGAGCATCTGGGATGACGCCGGAGGATGAGAGCCCTGGGGATAGCGACCGGAGTGACAATGCCATGGGATAAGGGGCAACGGGTGAGGAAGCTGGAAGGCGAAGTGCGTGCCCTGGGGGAGGAATTGGGCAAACTGGGGATTATGGCATGGCCTCCCGTGGATCCTCCCACACCCAGACGGGTCGGCGTAGCTCGTCCAGCCCTCCCCGATCGCTCCGATGGAACCGCCGACCCTTCCCCAGCCTCTGCCTCCGTTCCAACCCCCTGTGGGCCGCGGCTGGGGAGCGGGCCAGCAGCAAGCAGCCCCACGACCGCAGCAGGAGGAAGGGGACCTATTGCGAAGATGGGGGCTAGTAGAGAAGTACGACAGAGACCCGGCACAACTGCCTGCCTTCCTGAACCAGGTGAGAATCTGCACGGGCACATGCGGGCGCCTGTTTGCCAGCCTGGCGGGTGCTGTATGTATCCCGCTTCCTGGTAGGCGTGGCAGCTGAGTGCGTGAACAACTTGAATGAAGCGGAGGCCCCAGAACTGGGGGACTTTGACCGCTTCATCACTGCCCTACGGGACCGATTCGAGAACCAATGTGCCCACTTGCACGCAGTGGAGGCGATCAGGGAGCTGAAACAAGGGGCGCGCCCTGTGTCAGACTATGCACTGGAGTTCAAGCGCTTGGCGGCGAAGCTCCCAGACTGGCCGGAGGGGTTCCTCATGCGGCTGTTCCAGGAGGGGCTGGACCAACGGCTCTTCAACGTCTCCGTGTTGGAGGTGCAACTGGCCAGTCAAACCGCACGGCGCAGAGGCGAGATGGCGGCCCCCTATCGCCGCATGGCAAACAAGGCAGAAACCGGCAAGGAAGGAGTTAACCCCCTCGGCAAGGCCGCAGGCCGCGGGGAAAGCCT